AAAGTGATGATGATCTTAAAAGTCATGACACACCTACATAAGCTGCCTTTATATGGTGAAAGTATTGTATCGGTATCAGCAGTCCCTGTATTTATTTGGTATAGGATCGATACCAACATTTGCAGTATGGCACACCACTACTCCCAGCTCCTACCCTCTTCTCCTTCTCGTTTGCACTCTTCATCTTAAATAGCAGACACAGTGGGTGCCAGGATAACACTCACATCACCACTGGAGAAGCTTATTTGCAGATTTTAAAGAGTGCGGCCCCACTTTTTTTTGGAGTAACTCAAGACAAATCCTCATTGATGATGTACCAGTGTAGCAGGAAGGAAAGAAGAAAACATGTCATGTAAAAAAAAAAATGTGGAATTTACAATCTGCCTTCTATCAGATATCCGAAGAGCCAAAAAAGGATACGGCTAGTAGCCAAAAAAAAAAGCAGGCGCTTGTAAGATAAGTCAAATCAAGTAACTATCATCTCATTCTTTCGCATGCAATCTCCCAGCGGATCTTCTAAGCAGCAGGACTGTATCATAGTGTGTGCTCTTCATTATTTACAGCGCATTCATTCCAGTGAACCCGCAGTGAGGATAAAAAAAAACCCTGCGACGCTACCACTGTGATAGACATCAGAACACTAGCTAAATTAGCAGAGTTCCAGCCTCACTGTAAACTACACCTTTATATATTAGATTACACGTTTAAATCACTTTATATCTGAGTGTAAGTGTGTCACCGTGATAACTCCCTGCCTAAATACCAATCTTGTGCAGTGGTTGCACTTTTAATCCAACCTTTCCATCTGCAATCCCAGATGAGATGGCATGCAATTAACTCAGGGGGTAAATACACTATTGGGGATTAGTGAGTCACTCTGACTTCCCCTGCTTCCTCTATGACAAGCAGCAATCCTGCCACATCATTAGTACAACATTACTCACTTAAAGCACATAATATATTCCGTTAAATGCTCTGTTATTAGCTCGACCGGACCTGGAACGCTAAAACAAGCTTAAGAATTAATGATATGATCACATCATCGTGTGAGATGCTGCGTTCAAAAGAAGAAGACAAGTGAAAGACAGCTAGGAATAAGAGGCTACAAACTGTTAGAGGCCTGAGCCGGTTCATTAGTATGTCTGACTGAAATGCTCCCAGGCTGGAGCACTTTGATGCGGAGTCCATTGAGCAACCAAGTTACCTCTGAGCTTACCATCTGTCTGCCTGCCGCAAATAAACAGTTCAGAAGCAGAGGGAGGCTGGATGTTCCTCATCACACAGTAGAAGTGGGTGGAACGATCCAAATATGGAGAGTGTCGATAATTGGTATCGACACTCTCCATATTTGGATCGTTCCACCCACTTCTACTGGTATCAGTATTAGTTTGATACTAGTGTAATAGGATCGATATTTAGTTTCCATCCTCTAAATTGAGTATACAGCCTGAACTGAAGGGGGGAGATAAAAAGTTTTTTTCTGTTGACTGCCAAGTCAGTTTTATTTATAGCCTAAAGAACATTTAACCAACAAAAGCTGACCAAAAGTGCTTAAAGACATTCACATATACATCTTAGGTTTAAGAAAAAAAACCCAGTTTCAAAATACATGAAAAGCTAAAAGGTGTATTGTATTGTCTTAACTCACAATAATGGGGTGTAAAAATCATAAATGTTTTCAGAATTTGCAAATTGATGATGATTCATCTCATGAATCATGACACACTGCTCTTCCCAACACAAACGGCCTTTATGGGTCAAAAATATTGGTATCGGTATTGTATCGATAATACCGGGCCTGTATTTATATTGGTATCAGATTGATGTCAAAATTTGCAGTATCACAGCGTCCAGTCTGTGTGTGTGTGTGTGTGTGTGTGTGTGTGTGTGTGTGTG